TCGCAAAAGTTTTGCGAGATCCCGAGTTTGTTTTGCGAGATGTCGCAAAAGTCCGTCTTAATTTTTTTTTTTTCCTCCCATGTCCCCTGCGGGGCTCCGTAGATAAATGAGTTGTGTGGTTGCATAGTCTGGCCACCAGAGAGAAATGCAAATTCCCTTTATGTAATACGCATTTGGGACCCCACAAATTGGGCAGGGCGCATAACAAATGCTAGGTTATTCTGTTTGGGTTTTGTGTATCCAAGAGGGAGAAAATGGTCTCTACATCCTGATATAAGTGACGCAGTGGTTAGCGGTTAGCACTGTTGCCACACAGCAAGAAGTCCACAACAAAAATAACATCTTGATATCGGTCTTAAAAATCCGATATCGGTCTTAAAAATCCAATATCGGCCCCGCTCTACTGAAGTCAATGCGCAAGTGCCTTAAATCCACATTCCCAGTAAAATCAAGCAGGGCATGACTCCTGTGTCACTTTAGTGTATATTTTGCTTTTGCTGTAAGTTAATTTAGTGAATTAAGATCAGGGTCGGAAACGAGTGTAAAGCAGGCTCCACTCATTAACTAATGATTTGCGATTGACAACCTTTTACCCAAAGCTAAGACTGTCATGGCTAAAAGGTTCATCTTGAGGCTTAAAAGTGGTACTAATGAGTGACATCATGGATGCTGCTTCCGTCTTTTGTATACAGTCTATAAGGCTGTATATATCACCATGCTAGCTTAGCTTGAGACTGGAAACAGCACTTCTAAACAGCAATTCACATTAAAAATGTTATTCTTTTTATACAAAAGGGTTTTTTTAAACCGTTTTCATAGAAGCAATCAAAAATAGTTTAGACATGCTGGTTAGCAATGGTGGTTTCTGGTTTTAGTCTTTGTGCTAAGCTAACTGTGGGAATTGCTTCCTGTTGAATGGACAGACGCAGGATTGGTATTATCTGATCTTATTTGCCACTGCAAGAATGCAAATAAGTGCTTTTCTTAAAATGTTGAGTGATTAAATGAACATGTTGAGTGAATATCACAAGAATAAACTTTAGAAGCAGATTCAGCAACTCTACAATTTGGTGTTTTTAAAAAAATAAATAAATCTGGCCCTCATTTAACAGCTTATTTTGTGTGTGTGTACATTTCCAACTCCAGTTATTGCCACCTTTAGCCCAAGATAGCAAAAGTAGTCAGCGTAGCTCTTAGGCTATATGAAATCATACTGACCTTGCATGCTTGCTCCCACAGGGCCCTTTGATTGCCACGGCCTTCACTAACGGCTATCACTGAGAGTGTGAGTCAGTCCTCCTGCTAGCTGTCATCCTTTAAGTGTAACACATACGAGTGCTTCGTGCTGCCTAACCTGTGAGTAATCCCGCCGGTTTGTGTGTCAGTGCAGAGCTGTAGACTGAGAGCTGGAAGGAGTTGAAGCTGCTTTGGAGCTGATCTGGCCTGTCTCTGTCCAGTCCACGTCTCCGGCTGGGGTGGCCTAACCTGTAGCCAACCTGCCCTGGTGTCAGCTACATCCAGTTGACCCTACTGACACCACACTAAACTCCACCACAATTTTTTATTTTTTTTTGGGGGGGGGGACTTAAAAGAAAAAAAATCCTTCTCAAAAGGAGCAAAAACGTTTATCACTACATGTAATAGCAACACATTCAGATGCTGTATTTCTTTGTTTTTTTCCTCTGATATGTTTTTGTGATGGCTGTGTTATTTCATGATCTGTTTTGGCTGTGATTCATTGGTTTCTTTGACCTCTTTAATCTGATCTCTCTGAGATGGGAGGAGTTTAATCTCCAGGTGATGGCTGTTTGAAGGTCAGGAGATGTAAAATGTACTGGAAAGCTGTATATTTGTCACTAGTTCATACTGAATTTTAACATTGGGGATTAATACTTTTTCTCAAATGTGTCACAAAGTGTATATCTTGGTAGTTTTTTTGTTTGTTTTGTTTTTTAACAATGACTCGTTACTAATAATGGTCAGACGACAAAGGTCATTAGTGTCTGTTACGTAATAGGCCTTCATGAGGTGTACAATTTTGTAAAATTTTGTAAATACGGCTGGTTAGCGGGTGAGAGGGTTCTGCAAAATTTGCGTCAGGGAGGCGGGAGCGTTTTGGCGAAATGGTACGATCTCTTTTATCAATCTTGACTGATAGTTTCACGTGAAGGTCGAGAACATTTCAGTTTGTCTGTCTGTTACTGTATTTCTCTCCAGGCGTTTATAAATGATGCGTCACGTGAGTCTTACGACATTGAGGAGCAGCGTCAGAGTTTTACTTGAGCGGGCGAGGGGCTGCGTACTGAGCGACACTTGCTACTGTTCGGAGACGAGGGGTGTGGAAGCACTCCTGTCGGGAGAGGAAAAACACGACTTCTTACTTTATCATATTGTTGTTTTAACTGTGATTTTTAAATACGTGATGATTGTGAGGGCAAATGAAGGACTGTTGCGATGGAGCAGTCGTGCACAGTTTGCGTTCTGACTGATTTCCTCAAGATGAGTTGATGTTTGTGTGTCATTTGGTCTTATTCACATTGGTTTCCAATGTGCCATGTTTTGTTTGTTTGTTTGTTTTTTTGGGGGGGTTACCTCTGCTGCAAATGTGAAATTTTAATCTGACCCTTTTATTATTATTATTACATTAACATTGATATAAAAGTGTGGGTGGTTGAACCTTTTAGAAAGGTGGGGTCTTATTAACTCTCGTTTACCTGTCATACCCACCCCACAGCCATCCATCGCTGCATATCCACTGGAGGTCACAGACTGTAGCAATGTGACTTATTTCTTTTCTTTTGTTTTTAGACCAAAACACTTATTTTCAGAGCTACTAGGCTTTTGCACTGGCCGGACACGATAAAATAAAAAAGCACTCCCCATCTACAAAGTACCAGGTTTTTAAACATTTTGATACACTCGCTCCGTCTGCTGCGAGCTACCACGGTATTTCAAACTCTGATGCTGATTTCACTGCATTATAACAATCTTGTCAACACTGTAACATTTTCTGATTTTCATTTTTCTCGTGTTTATTCCTTTGGAGGAAAGCAAAACTTTTTAACTTTTATTCCTAATAAATTATTTTAAAACATTCCACTTTTTTGTGTCCTGTTTGAGTTTTTCTTGATTTCCTACACAGACTTGCTTTTTTTTTTTCATTTAAAACTACTATTTCTAAGGAAAAAATCTTGTATTTCTAGCTCCATTTATTGGCTTGATTTGGCACAAATACAAGACTGCTTCATGACAGCAGAGAGCCTTTGCTGAGTAAAATTAGTGCGTCTTAACATTTGTCCAGAATTATCATTTGTAATAAACTTCAGTACAAAACGATAAGTAAAAATAAGCCTTTTTAAAAAAACAAAACC